TAAATGAGAGCTTGGGCTACATTAAACAGGAATATTGAATCCAAACCACAAGAGGTAATGGTTCCCTTGTACTCTGTCCTGGTCAGATCCCATTCAGAATTATGTGTCCAGTGCTAGGCACCACAATTTAAAAAAGGACATCAAAAACCTGCATCAAGTTCAGAGACAGACCGTCAAGATGTTCAGGGATCTGGAAACTGAGGCATGTTGAAGAATCTAACTATGTATGGCCTACAGGAGAGATTACCGAGGGAAGAAATAATAGCAGATTTCAAATATTTGAAGGGATTGTCATGTCAATTTTAAATCTGTTGCCTCACAGGGCAGGACCAGAGCAATAGGCTGAAATGATAAGGAAAGGGGATTCAGGCTAGATCTCAGGAAGACCCTCCTGAAAATATGACTTATAGGATCAGCGAATAGAATTGGCTGCCACATGAATTAGGGGCTGAGGGGGCTTTCTTTCATTGGAGGTCTTCAAGTAGTCTTTGGATGGTCATTTGTCATGGATCTAATGGAGCCTACATTGAGGAGGGAGTAGGACTAAATTGATCTCCAAGATTCTTTCCAACTTGGGATTCAATGTAAAAATGCATCTGCTCATATTAAATGACCTAGAAAATAAACTTAAATATATTGTGCACTTTTTTATTTTCAAAGGGAAAAAGTGTGAAGACTATATTCAGTTTAGCATAGCAACTGTAGCCATCCCACCATAGCAGTCCAATCGCATTTGATGTGACTAATAATTTGAGCCATTGGTTTCAACATGCCTTGCTTAATTCAGTTTGTATGCTGCCTGACTCCCATTCTCTCTATACCTGTTAGAACAAGGCAGCAGATCCAATCATTTACTAGTTCTGTATATTCATAGTTTCATTCTAAGTTTTCCTGCTTTGCCCATTTAACTATCCAATCTCATGCTTTGCTTCCAAGTCCTCAAGACCAAAAACACTGGTTGCTTTCCATGTTAATTCAATTTCCAACCAGAAATGTGATGCCAAAACCATTTACTGCCCCTCACTGAGGAAGCCTTAATTCCCACACCTCAAAGCAGATGCTGTTAATCTTGGATTAGCCCCCAACTAGGGCACCACAAAGTTTATTCATTCGTTGAAGCAAAAACTATTTGCTGCTAATGACTTTCTCTCTTTTGCAATATTAAAAAAAAACATCATGTCTATTGACTAGCCAATGACAGCAAGATTTTCTGGCCTTTCTCTTGCCTTTAACAGAAGTGTTCACAGAGGCTAGTCAAAAAATCTCAAGAAGGAGGACTGCAATGGTGCAGTCAAAGCTCTGCCTATTTTTTATGAGTATATAAGAGGTGATGCTTTGATCACACCATGATGGCCCAAATCTTGACATTTTGACACCTCTGTTTATTAGTGTGACCTCCTGCCTTTGTTTATCCCAGACAGGGGACAGGGACAGGATTGGTGTCACAAAGAGATCCCTGCCAAAGTCTTTGCATGAGTTTCTCTTTCAGTGTTGACCAGGAGCCTGCCGAAGGCCTAATGCAGGGATGGTGAACCTTTTAGAGACCAAGTGCTCAAAAACTGGCCACGCCCCCACTCCACCCCCTGCCCGGCCCCCACCCCGCCCCCACCCTGCCTGCCTGCCTGCAGGGCCACTCACCGCCTCCAGGGCCTGCCGCAGATCACCCAGCAGCGCCATGGCGGCCACCCCCTCTGCCCGTGCCCCACAGCATCAACTGTGCACATTGGGCTTGAGGGCAGAGTCTTGTCTACGCTGCCTGGCTGCCATGTCCTTGGCTGCACTGCTCCACGTGGGCCACGCTCAGGGGCGACTCTCCTCCAGGGGGGCTGCTGGTGAGGGGGTCGTGGGGGGGAGGCAAGCCTGCGGCAACAGCATGTGTGCCCCCAAAGAGGGCTCCGAGTGCCACCTCTGGCACCCGTGCCATAGGTTCGCCACCACTGGCCTAATGAAATGAAATGAAATTTTAGTTATCATTATAGGGAACCATTTGAGACATTCTGACCCAGCTATCCTAAGGGTGTCCACAGAGGGGTCAAAAGAGTCAAGACAGCGGTCACAAACATGAGACAGAAGGTCAAAACTGGATTTTGACTGCATAGTTTTAACAGGGACATCTCTGACCTGGCCCTTCATGTATGGCTCATTCAGAGGCTCTCATTAGAAATCTTGAGAAACATGAACCTGTAAGAAAGAATAAAAATATTTAAGAACAACATGACTAGAAACCTGTTTATGGTAGCCCACATTCATCTGGAAAAAGAGGCAAAAATTCAAGGCCCGGGTTTTGGGGCCATCTTTTAATCTGAGGTAACCAATCACAGGCTTAGACACAACACCCAAAATTCCTGATGATTAGGCTTTATGGGAGATTCAGATAAAAAACTAGCAGCCACCCGGTTGCCTACCTTCTCCGTACACCCTTGTCGAATTCATACGTGTCCTTTAAAAGCTGGAAAGTAAATGCTTATACAGGAGATTAGATCTCCAAACTTAGTGGAAACCAAGTTTTATTTTCAGCTGAAAACATCCCTCTCCCTTTCATTACAGTTTGATATACGAGGCAGCTATGTCAAGCTTTTTTTCTTTTTTCTTTTTAACTCAAGTATAACCCCCCAGTGTATTTAACTGGGCTTGGCTTTCAAGGAAGCAGCTTCAGGCTGATTTAAAGAGCTCAGCATTACTGGAGGCTGGAAGAGCTGATCAGATATAAACTAGCAGTCATCGTGCAGTAAAGATGTCTGGCCGAGAAGGAACTAAATGTCGGAGGACGGTGATTTAGTGCGCCTGCCTGGGGCTGGAGAGCTGGTCCCGTTCTTGCACACTCTGCGCTGGAGAAATGCTGGCCTTCAACTCACCTGGGGATGGAGAGACACATTTCTCATGCCCTCTTCAAATCCTATAAAACGGTCTGCTGCCGGTAGGTTCCCTGTCAGCTGGGACTGACCTCGTGTTCCACCCCACAGTCGGGACCCAGGAATGCCAGGTGAACCAAGGTGTGCAGAGAAACTACAGATTATTTAATTGCTAATGAAGGGAAGATGCATTTCTCTTTGCCAGGCAAGGAATCTTCCTGTGCTTGGCTTAAGGATTAATGGGGGCTGGGCGTCCCCAAAATCTGATCCTTTCCTCCGATCCTTCCCCCAAGCAATTTATTAAGCCCATATTATTAGTTTAAGGAAAGATCCTACGAGATTGCCAGATATTTATTTATAACAGTTTGATTAATGAAACATTTATGGGTTTGCTAGCTTCAGTTTCTCTCACGTTCCACTGGAGGCTTTAAAAAAAAAAAAAAAAAAAAAACAAGAAAAGGCAATTGCAAATTTGCTAGTTAAAAAAGACCTTTAAGGAACTGTGGGCATTCAGTTTGTGCCCCTGGGATACAAGAGCTCCTTTCAAGCCTCTTTTTATTAGCTGGCTGGTGTTGTTTTTAGCAAAGGCACTGAGGATCCCAGCCAAGGAGGCCTCTTAGTATTATCCATGCATTCACATAGTGTGCTTGTTTGTTGATTAGTGACTTTATCTCCTGCCACCGGAAAGAGGCACAAAATGACTTGCCACAAAAGTAAAATCAATACGGAAATTCAATTAAAGCACAGTGAACAACATAATTAAAATTCCATTTAGAAACTCAAAAGAATAAAATAGCCAGCAAGATAGTCACAGCCTCAGCAGCCGTGAATGACTTTTGATCATATTTATCCATTTTGATTTGATCTCAGCAGGAAGCAATTCCTTAAATGTTCCTTAAAAGGGAATGACTTACTGGCCAATCTTACTTAGTAGGGTATTCCAACAGATGGGAGAAATCAGCATAAAGGCCACAATTTCATCTGTAACTAATACTAGACAACCCATTAGCCATTGGGTTATTGTTTCAGAGTTACTTACGTACTTATCTAAACAGAGAAACAGAGTCACCAGAGGTGGGCAAAAAAAAATATCAGTGGGAGTGACTTACTGTTGACTTCCTCATTGAGTTTCCTTGTGGAAAGTTGGCAACATGCATTCAAAATCTTTCTCCTTTCCTTCCTTCCTTCCTTCCTTCCTTCCTTCCTTCCTTCCTTCCTTCCTTCCTTCCTTCCTTCATTCGCCCATCCATCTATACATACATACATACATACATACATACATACATACATACATACATACATCCCTCTCATTCATTAATTCTCCCCTTTGCTTTCTTCCCCCTCTTCCTCCCTCTTCTTCTTTTCTTCCTTCCTTCCCTCCCTCCTTCCTCATTTCTCCTTTCTTCCCTCCTTCCTGCCACATCAGGTTCCATTGAGTTAAGGATCACAAAGCCAGCAGGCAGTTCCAAGTCCAAAGCCAGCAGACAAGTAAGTGACTGGCAGCCAGGTAGAGGAGGCAGCAAGAGATCGTGCAAGTGGCCAATGTGGTGCAAGCACAGAGACACTTGGGAAGTTGCATGGTTAAGGGAGACATACCTGAGCAATTTACAACCTTCCCTGCTGGCTTCCACATTGACTTTCTCCCTGAAAGCTTCCCACAAGCAAAGAGTTGGTGGGAAGTTTGCAGGAAGGTCAGCAGTCAACTTTACAGCTCCTGCCAGCTCCCCCACTGTCTTCTGAGAAATCGTCAGGGAGTGTTGGAAATGAGGATGACATGACTGTGGCAGGATGGCAGCAGCTTTGAAGTGAGAGCAGCGCAGCAGTGCTAAAGTCACCACAATTTCTCCAAATTTCATTCCCATGGGAGTCATGGCTTCTGGCAGTCTGTAAGTTAGCCCATTTATGTTACCTTGGTTCGTAACTCATTGCCCTATACCTCCAATTTTGCCCAATTGAAGGTTATAAAACTTTTTTAAAAAACAAGAGTGCTCAATAACAGAACCAAAGATGCTCCATTTTGCTTTTCTAGAACGTTATTTTTTTTTCAGTTCCCCGAGAAAGGGTCAGTCCCAAGGAAATGAAGATTATATTAATCACATTCATTACAGAATAGAATCATCAGTCTGTTCCAAAGTAGGTTGAGAACCCTCAAGCTTTCAACCCTATGTCTTGAAGACCTCTGTGATTTAGCTGGCTGCTAGAGTGGCCTCTGTAATCAGCAAGCTTTGAGTTTGATGCACGTCGGGATTGCATCACGGTTGTTGGACGGAACCGCCTATGGCCAGCTTCGTCGACCTTATCGAAAACGTAACCAGGCGGCTCTTTGAAAGAGGCAGGACATATATGCACTTCCTTTGCTGTATAACTTGTGCCATAGGTGGTAGTCTCAGCAAATGGCACATGAGGTCTGGCCACTGGCAAGCGGGGCCGGAAGCTCTTTATGGAAGGGAGCTGGTGAGGAACGTAATGGGTTTGGAAGGAGGTCATCAGGTCCATGGGCTCGGAGGGCATGGTGAGCTCTGAACGAGGCACGATGGGCTTGGGTCTTTCGGCGTGCCAATGCTGGAAGTCTTCCTTCATAGTGGAACAGTGGCTAAAGGGTTCTGTGTATTCGACGACCCGGCCCAAGGGTTTACATGATGTTGCTGGGCGCCCATGAGGATCTCCATAGTGGATCTGTGCTGATGTCTGGAGGTCCATCTTCTCTTTAGGAGGAGTGTAAACTGCCGGCTTTCTGGTGAAGCGACTGGCTGCCGGCCACGCTAAGAACTTCTCCTTGAATTCAGTAGTGCCCATAAAATTGCCTGCATCTGGCCTGACATAATCTGGTTTTGCGGACTTTGCTGGCTCTCCTGCTAACCCTTTGTAAGAAAGGTTGTGGGTAGTGAGCCCATCAAATGGGACCTCGCAGCTCTTGAATGGCTCTTGTGTATGGACGAAGCGCTGTGGGATGGGGTGAGCCACATAATTCAACTTATAATTGGTCATGCTCTCCAAGGGGACCTTTGAGATGTGAAGAGGCCTTACAGGCTTATAGTTCTTGGTGGTGACCAGCCCTTTGTATTGGTAAGCATCCTGGTTAGTGGTCCTGTGATCAAATTTTTTTTCTGGTGGACGGTAACTGTTATCTGGCTTAATCATCTCTCTTTTAGGCTGATTCCATGCCACGTAATCGGCTGAAATGTAAGCAGATGTGATTAAAGAGGCTATCATTACTCTCAAACATTCCTACCTCCATTCTAATAAAATACAATTTACTGCAGTCAAGCAAACATAAGACAGGGGGAAAAAATGAAAACAGTTCTTTGGCTATTGGAATGATGGCAAATGATTATTTAACAATAAACCATATAAAGATGGAGTTATGAGAATTGCTAATGGAATGAATATGGAATCAGACAACTATAAACATATTTTTTGTTATTTTTTAATTTTGCAGTATTGACATTATGTTACTATCCTATTGCCAGAGTGCCACTTTGTTATAGTGGTTAAGACTTCAGCTAGAAACCGTGAAACCCTAAGTCCTAGTCCTATCATAGGCATAAAGTCAGCTGGGTGACCTTGGGCCAGTCCCTCTCTCTGGGCCCTAGGAAGCAGACAATGGTGAACCACTTCTGAAAAACTATGCCAAGAAAACTGTGGGGACTTTCCCAAGGAGTGCCCAGATGTCAACACTACCTTAGAGGTAATCCTGAAAAAGCCCATTGCCAGCGTAGATGTAAGATTTGGGTACAGTCCCATCAAGCATCTCTAAGTAGAATCTGGAAAGGTAGATGGCATCTTCATCATGAAAAAGCAAGATGACTATAGCCTTGGAGACATCCTACTCATGGCATCCATTTTAAGGACAGTTCAAGGAATCTGGAACTTGTACTTTTTGTATCCAAAGCCACTAATCCTAATGTAGTTCCTACATAACTTCTTTTCATTGCACACCTTAAACTGCAAAAGCAATTTCCTTTCAAGCATATGGAAATTTTCTCTTTTCAGGTTTACCATTCTGGCCTGGAAAACTTCATGTAACTAGAAGATGGTGAAAGGTTTTTGTAGTTTTGCCATTCAGATCTAGTAGCCTTATTTTATCTTCTCCTGAATGAAACCAGGGAAATGTCTCACATAACATCTCTTCTCCTTCTTAAGCATTGAACTGAAGGTTAGTTCAGACTTCTACAAAGAAGCCGGAAAAAGTCAGAGACTCTTGTATTCTTGTTCATTGCTTCAAAGATGGGATTCAAATCTTAAATTCCTCTGGATTCTGTTGTCGATTGAAATCTTTTTCTACATATATAATTTCATTAAGAATTTGGATTGCGGTAATAAATCTAATGCAAACTAAACTTTTAAAAAGAAAAGAGAATAGTAAGAAGTAAACAGGGCAAGAAAAAAGAGAAAGAAGGAAAAATAGTAAAAATATAATAAAGAGAAAAGAAATGTATAAAGATTTCCAGCCTTCATCACAACAAATGTAAACAAATTTATTGACTCCACTCTCTTTAAGGATACAAACATTTATCTCTTCATCCCACATCCCAGCTATGAACAAATCCATAAAAATTTCATTTTTTCAGTCCTGAAGTCAGCAGAAAGTCCATAAAGGGTTAGCAAAAATAATTTCACATCTTGTTTTAACCTTGATCAAATAAACCAATTTTATATTCCTTCCTTTTACTTCTAACAGTTTTAATCTTTAGTTTACTCAAATACAGTCAAAGAATTTGATGTCTTTTCATTTCTTCTTTGTCCTATTGCTCAGAATTCTTCAAGGCTTTAACAAACCTGTTTTGTAAATCCACTAGGAAAAAATTATCAGGTTATTTTCTTGGTCTGTCATTTGTATTTCACTTTTTCTCTTTAAAACCTCAGCCACTTTCTTTTGTATATCTAGTGAAACATTTTTCTAAATCATTCTCTTGAGCTTTCAGTTGTAGACTTCTTTTGATACTACCTCTTCTTTTCAGATAAAATTTATTCTTCCTATTTAGCATATTTTCCTGTACCTAAAAACTTTAATTCCCTCTAGTATCCAGTTTTTGAATTTATGAAATTATTTATCTTTGTTTTGTTTTGTAAAAGCCAAAACAGAATCTATTTTCCATGAGCAGTTGTTTCTTGTTAATTCCAAAATCTTACTGTAAGAATTTTAATGCTCCAATTTTATCTGCACCTTAGTCTGTTTATAACTCTCTAAGATCAAGACCTTATTTAGCTTTTTGCTGTTTATTTTAGATTCTTTAAATTCTGAACATTATGGTTAAAATTTTCTTTCATTCAGGATTGAAAGTAGACTCACCTGGCATTTTCAAAATTGTCAGTTCAAAGGTCTCTAATAGCTTAGGTGTAGCTAATAAGCAATTTCCAAAACTGATTAGAAAGTGAGGTTTGCGAATTTAGTGTCCTTTAAAAGTCTCCTGCAAGAAGTAATAATGGCTTCCTGTGTACCAGGATTTTGAAAAATTAGGGCACCACAGAAGAAAGCAAGACATTGAAGTGAAACCATGCATAACATGGCTCAGGCAGTCATTAGCATTGTCAAAGGAACTCTAAAATTAGATTATCTCCCTATCTGGAGAAAGAGCTGTGTGTTAATGAAAAAACTAAACAATGCACTGCAAAGCTGCAAAGAATTCAGATATTTTATCATATCACTTACAGGCACCTCATCCTGCTTAATAATGAGTCTATCATGTTTAATATTCTTAGATTAATTTTTCTTAATGCTACACTTATTATAGCCCATTTTTCTATTCTATTTTCTATTCTATTCTATTCTATTCTATTCTATTCTATTCTGTTATTCTATTTTATCTTCTATCTTCTATCATCTTCTATCTTCTATCTTCTGTCTTCTATCATCTTCTATTTTATTCTATTCTATTCCAAATTTCCAGGCCATAAGCAAGATTGAACCAGTAGTAAATCCTAGGACTGCAGGCAAACAGGAAGTTAAAAAAACATTTTGGAAGAAGACATGGGCAAACCCCTTTGCATTCATATAATTATTAGGAGTGAAGCTAAACTGAGGAAGTATTTATGCATCTCTTTTGATTGCCGTGCAATAGGTTTGGTCAAGAACATGCTGGGGGTGGGTGGGTGGAATTCTGGGAACTGAAGTCCATGCAAGCCATCAGGTTTGTAAAACACTGACTTAGAATATACTGCAGGAGATAAAACGTATGAAATGGTAGACCAGGTTGCGTACAGACCACAATGATCATACATAAGAATTGACATGCAACATTTAAATGTTCTTGACTCAGGAAGGGAGCAGAAATTTGAATTCTTGCAATTTATACTAAAAACAGAAAAAACTACAGTAGGTATTCTAAAAAAACAACAACAAGGACAGCAAATTCCGTTAAGGTACCAGGTTAGAAACCAGGAGACTGTGAGTTCTAGTCCTGCTTAAACATGTAAGTCTGAGTGGCTTTGGGCCAATCATTTATTCTGAACCCATGATATCAAGCTCTGGCAGTAAGGCAGTGGATCACCTTCGGTCACCATCAATGCATCAGAACAGGGCTGATCTGAAAAAAGAGATTCCTGCACTCACCAGGAAAATGCTAGGTAAAAAAAATTGAAAAGCCCAGCTTGATATACCATGAAAACAAGACTATAAGATAGATCATGTTGGAGAAAAGGCAGAACAGCAGAGTGGGGATATGGTGGCCTTTCGGATGTTGTAGGCTTCTAACTCCCCATCATGGCCAGGCACGCTGACCCCACTGACTGCCTGGGGATTCTGAAAGAAATGGCCTTACTGTCCTTGGAAGGCCTTAGGCTTCCCATGCCTGGTCTTAAATCAGACATTGTTTCCCCACTTGAAAAATAAGCCATAAGAACAAAGAAAACTGGAAGTATTGGTTCATAAGACAAGGTGGACACTTAACAAATTAAAAGCAGGTACACCAGATCAGAAACATTCTGTTCATAATGTATGGCCCAACAATTTTACAGCTGTGTTCTCTTATCAGGGATTTCTGGGTAGGAAGGTTAGTGATAGTCATATGCAAAATCCTTGGCACTGAGTCCAAGGATAACCAAACAAGGGGTCAGAATAAACTAAAACAATAGTGAACAATGCTGTAAAATTGTGGCCCATTCACTGTAATATAACTTCTTTTCAATCTTCTAATGTATTCCTACCTGAGCCTGCAGTGTGCACCATTGTGTGTGCAACTTGATATTTTGTACACAGCTTCTAATTCTATCGCGTTCCCCCTGAGCCGGACCTGTGGTCTCCTCTTGGTTGCAAGTGGGATCCCATTCATTTCAATGGAGGCACATGTGCTCATAGGAGCAATTGAGGAGGAAACAGCTGATGCATGCACGCGCCGTATTCCTTGAATGGTTTTAAGGGAGATCTGATTCTCCTTATAGGCAATCCAATTGCCTGGATATGAAAGATCACTGGCTTTCTCGTAGCCTTGAAAACTGGTGAGCTTAAGGGATGAATCACTACAATATGGAATAAGATCGTAGGACCAATTATTTGAAGGTTTCCGTTTGCAGAATATTTTGGAAAAAAAATCTTGCAAATTGCAACCAAATGTGGTAAAGCTGCGTTTTATCAGAGCTCTTTCAATCCTCAGCTGACGGCTGTTCTAGATAGTGCAGACCTTTGACCGAGACTTACATATGGCTCCTATCATATTATTAAAGCCCATTGATAGAGAAATAGATTTATGTCAATCCACACATCTGAGATAATAAGACTGTCCAGATGTTACGTGTATCTGATGCACGTCAAGGGAGAACAGGAGTTGCTTATCGTCATTTTTGTCATTGTAAAGGAAGAGTAACAGCGTCTGTGTGCCCTCACTAGGATCCGATTGTTTGGACAAAGTTATCATGCGGAAGAGTTTGCAGACTCCTAGTTCTGCTGAACGAGCAAAAGGAATTGATCTGATCCTGCTTTCTCTTTCATACTTGCTATGGATGTGCTCAACTAGCAGGCAACCTTCTTGTGATTAAGACCTACGGAATGGGTCCCATTACATCCTGATGATTGACCTACAAGAACGGATTTCTTTTCCTCCTTAAATCGTTGATGTAGGTCTCCTTTGACCACACATAGCCAATTCCCCATTATTTCACTCACATCTCTTCCAAAGTACCTCCGATGGCCCAAAAAAGTTATGCGCCATAGAACACCAAGGAAAGGGATGGGGGGGGGAACCAGTACATGTGATCTGTGTGAGGGTCTTCCTTTAGCATTTGCACTTCCTTAGAGACCCTGAGAAGGGACAAGATCATAACGTCCAGAAATTTCGAGAGGACATACGTTTAAGGGGCAAAAAAGATGCATCAAGGCACTTATAAGCACCCCTTAAAAACATGCCAACTTGCAAAGTGGGATAATTATTCCTATTTGGGAGGTTACTGAGAAAAACTGATGCTTAATGCAGTTAAAATATTTCTAATTATTCTTTCAACTCTTACTTTTATATGTTGGAACTCCGGTCATCTTCTCACCAGAAGAATAATTTTGTTCCTGGGGCAAGCAAGGAGGCACTCGAGATACATGGTATGGGTTATAGTCTTGTCTATATGTAGACTGTAGATCCATACATTCATCTTTCTTGACATATTGATCAGGAGCTTTCTGTTTAATACGGAAGACTTCATGTGGGATGTAATCTCTCCTGTAAAAACATCAACAGCTCTCATTAAATGAATAGCTTGTAGTATACAGATAAAACTGGATCTAGTCTTAACGTGCCTAACTTAAAACAGTCCTATTGAAAACAATTTGACATGTTTCCAAGCCATCCCATAGATTTTAATGACTCTACTTTAAGCATGACTAAGTCTAAACCTACCAGAATGTTGCTTATTAAATTCACATGAATCCTGCATATCTCATACTGGAAAAGTTCCAGCTGTTAATTTTCTTTTTGCTTATCAGAGATTTGGAGATACTGTTACCTTTCAAATTGTTGCATTATTTTTGACAGATACATTTAAAAAAAAATTGTGACATAATCTTTCCACTTTAGGAAGACAAAGCAGCAGAACTTACCAATGGATACTTTCTGTATTGCAGGAAGCTTTTCAGCAAATGTACAATAGGGCAAAGATGCCAAGAATATTGCTTGAATTGTGATGATATAACTGTACTCCATCAATCAACAAATGCTGGCATAACACATTTTAAAAAGCCTTTTTATTTAGTTAATTGTTTGGATCTTAGTCAGCTTAAGGATTACAGGGTTTTGTGAAGGACAGATTAACATTTTTATTCCTCAAAGTCTATTGGCAATATTTTTTTTTAATTGTCTACTGACAGTAGTGAATAAAAGTACTTTCTTATAAAATGCTTTAGCTAAGTAGAGAGAGGCAGTTTAAATATTTATTTACTGAGTTGACACTAAACTACAAAAACAGTACAGTACAAAAACATTGCATGAAAAAGCACTCAGGCTGCTTTTAGTTGTTTATGCCACTGGTGTACAAAGACAGCATGTGAACCTGTTGTGGGTGCCTCATTGTGGAGCATCCAAGTTTACCCAGCAGGTAGTACAGGAAAATGGCTTGGAAGGTTGTAGGTGATGGTTAAGACAAACAAAGTTATAAGAAAGAGGATGGCCTTGACTATTCCTCAGCTTTGGTTTTCCATTCAGGCAGGAATTCTTTCAGAGGGACAACCCCAATTAAATGGATTTGTGTAATCATTCTTTTCTTTCCTATTGGCAAAGAAGCAATAGGAAAACACAACCGGTTTACAAAGTGAGAGGCAATTACATCTACATTCATTCCTCATATTTCATGAAGGCATCTGCCCAAATATACAGTTAAAGACCTCATCCAGAAGCATCCAGATAATAATGAAACCTATTGTTATCATCCAGATCTGGGAAAAAGAAGGATGCATTGCAACATTATCCACCCACCCACCCAAATACACATATATATATAAAGTATGCATTCAAGTCCACAATCTTTGGCCTTTTAACAGCCCTTCTTTTGGGGCTACTATTCTGCAGTTCAAATGACCACTAGATGACAGCCATTACACAGAGAACTCTCTTTGCTCCCACCTGGTGGTCATTTGGATAGCTGCAGGATAGATCTGGTAGCCCAGTGGTGGCGAACCTATGGCACGGGTGCCAGAGGCGGCACTCAGAGCCCTCTCTGTGGGCACGCGTGCCGTCGCCCCAGTCCTAGGCCTTCAGCTGGGTTTTATAAAACCTTTTCTCTTTAGGCCTCTACTGCCGTGTACAAAAAAAAAAGGTTCAATCAATCAGTCAATTTCAACTTCTCGCGGGGGAAAAAAAAGATCTTGCAAAGTTGGGATTGATCGAACTTTTTAGTCCCACCCAGTCTGCTGTTACCACCGCAGCCACGCCCACCCAATGGCCCACACCCACCCAATGGCCCACACCCACCCGGCACCCGACGATGCATAAGTGGGTTTGGGGTTGCAGTTTGGGCGCTCGGTCTCTAAAAGGTTCGCCATCACTGTGGTAGCCTTTCCTTTGCTTCCATTTCTGTTGTCTTACTTGGTTGTTGAAAGGGCTTCCATTGGCACTGGCTGCTTCTGGTACTCTGTGCTGGGCTTGTATGATTCTCTAGGTAGAATGTTGGGATAAAGGGGGTATTTCTCCATATACTCAGAAAGACGACATGGCTTCTCGTTCGTGTCAAAGAGCCTGGTTGGCAGATGAGGACAATGATGGCGTCTGTTGAAGAAAGAAAAGAATTATTGGGGTTCACCAAGATGCACAATAGGAGTTGGAAACTCACAGATTTGACATGATTACTTTAGCACTTGAATCGTGTTTTACAAATGTGTAGATATTAAACTGGGCAGCCTCTACAGCAGGGGTCTCCAACCTTGGCAACTTTAAGACTTGTGGACTTCAACTCCCAGAATTCCTCAGCCAGCCAAGCTGACTGAGGAATTCTGGGAGTTGAAGTCCACAAGTCTTAAAGTTGCCAAGGTTGGAGACCTCTGCTCTACAGCACTTTCCTTTTTCCATCTGGTTGTTTTTCCCGAGAAATCCCTGCGGATTTTACTCCACTAGTAATGATGGTGATGGGGGGTGGTTTTCATTTCTATTTCAAGGCATGACATCACAGAGTGCAGTTATCTTCCCACCAAAGTGGTGCCTATTTATCTACTTGCATTTGCATGTTTTCGAACTGCTAGTTGGGCAGGAGCTGAGGCAAGGATGGGAGCTCACCCCGTCATGTGGCACTCAGGTCTTGAACCTGGGCTGCCAGTTTTCCAGCTGACAAGCCCAGTGTCTTAACCATTGAGCCACCGCATCGCTCCTGTTTTTCCCACACTTGATATTAAACTGACTGATTTTAGGAACAATCGAGAAACTTTAATTAGAAAGACATTTTAAAAAACAGAGGAGGATACTCTATGTATACGGTCTTGAGCTCTTGGAGGAAAGGTGGGATATGAATCCAATAAATTAATAATTTCAATTAGTAATAAACATAGGCCTTAAAAAGTTCTGTAATACATTATCTTAACCGAGAAAATATGTTGACTTTTGATTTATTAATGAAGTCTATAACATCATTTCATGATTCTGTTTTGTATTTCAGTTTTTCAGATTCCCTTATCAAAAACATTGGTGTAGATACTAGTATTTGCTCTTCATCATCCTCAATGAAGCAGGAATAAAGTCAACTATTCTACAGCCTCCTAAATCTCCTTCTAGTGCATCAGAAAATGCTTGTTGGCCAATTATTTCCTTACCCATTTTCCACCTTTCATGCACGGGTGTATGTGTGTGCGATGATATTTCGTACTTAGGTGCAGTGAGAGTTTGTACAGGTAGTCCTCAACGTATGACCACAATTGAGCCCAAAATTTGTGTTGCTAAGCGAGACATTTGTTAAGTGAATTTTGCCCCATTTTATGACCTTTCTAGCCACAGTTAAGTGAATCACTGCAGTTGTTAAGTTAGTAACACAGTT